AACAAACTTTCTAATATATTGTCCCTAACGTGACAATTTCTGCATAAACATTCTTTTAAGATTAACATGAAAAATCAATAGAACGAAGCAAAGTAAGAAAAAGAATCAAATTATGTTGTTGCCTAACCAGTCTTAAAATATCAGAATCAAATTCTTTTGTCGGCAAATTAAACAAGAGTTTTTGTTGTTATCCGGCTTGGCATGTAGGTTGCGCACCAGAAAACATTTTTGTTATATCATTTGCCAAAGTATAATATAGCGAATTGTTCTCCAGTGTTATAAGACGTTTTAATAAAAATTATTCTATTAAGTTATTATCCAATATTGTTAGATGATTCATCAATATTTTTATATTAAAATTTAGATTATCATTAAAAATTTCAAAATATTGTTCTTAACGTTTTTCATCTAACTTATCAGTTTTCTACCCAAAATCATTTAACTTTATGTACCTGTCCCTAGTTTCTAAGTAGTCATCTACTACTACAGGGAATACAATCCAGGATTGTTTATAAGTAGTCATCTATTACTACAGGGAATACAATCCAGGATTGTTTCTGAGTAGTCATCTACTACTACAGGGAATACAATCCAGGATTGTTTATAAGTAGTCATCTACTACTACAGGGAATACAATCCAGGATTGTTTATAAGTAGTCATCTACTACTACAGGGAATACAATCCAGGATTGTTTATGAGTAGTCATCTACTACTACAGGGAATACAATCCAGGATTGTTTATAAGTAGTCATCTACTACTACAGGGAATACAATCCAGGATTGTTTATAAGTAGTCATCTACTACTACAGGGAATACAATCCAGGATTTTAGCTCTGTAAATTTTTAATTTTACCCCTGAACCACCATAAAACCACAAGAAATGAAAAACTAATGCGTTGTCGAAACGTTTCGTGTAAGATAATTTTATGACGGAAGACAAAGAAGGCTTTTGTTTCAGATATGTATCTCAGTTATTACCTACACCGCTAGGGGGCTTTGGTATAATTAATTCATGAATTAAAAAGTAATTTTAGTGAAAATAGGTCTTTAATGGCACCGAAAAAATTACTTAAACATAACTAGTTAATTCCCGCTATATAAATGTAAAGTTTGTTTATTTTGTTATGACTACATTCATTTGAGTTAGAACTTATGAGAGAGCTCGTTATCTAAATATCCAGTAGGATAACTTTTGATGTTGATGACGTGACAAGAAAGCGTAATTATACTTCTAAGCAACCACTTGCCTCTTCACACCATAGCACTGACACTGTTTTTGCTTTCAGCTGAAAACACAAGAAAAAAGCCCATAAATTATATTAGGATAAAAACAAATTACCTTTATAGGCGTATATAGTATAATTTCGAAGAAAATAATAAAAATGCACCTTTTTTTATTGTCAATACATTGGAATTAAGAAGACATTATCTATCAGTAATTATTTAATTATTAGCAGGAAGTTTTGGATCAATAACAAGTGATGGGTGGATTGGTCTGTATATGAAACTATTGCTCTATAATCAGAGAAATTACTTTTTACTTTAAATATGTTGAATTAAACAGCTGATATGAAAAAATGTTCCCTTGAGTGCGAAAGGTATCGGTTTCGATATTGGGGAACACCAAGGTTGTATAACCACAAGTATATTAAAACCAACGTGGGGGTGCATTTGGGATCCTCCGAGTACTCCCATTGACGAATCTTGTTTAGGAAAAATTAGGAAGATGAAAAACAAGCTTTGATCCCGTTATCTCAAGCGCTCTTTGACTTGCAAAAGTTATCAAATTCAATTCCGAGACACGCTAAAATAGATTACTACAAATAAAATTTGTTTGGATATAGTAGTCACCACATTAACCCAAGATTATGGTCGAAGATGGTCCTTTTTTTTTACAGAAATTGGTAACCTATTTCTTTAAAAAAATATCAGTATTGCAAATGGCAAGTTTGTTTATTTTTCTCTGAGAGAGTCCGTGTCTTGGGGTTTTACTACATTCAGTTCAATTAGATCTTAAGAGAAAGCTCGTTATCTGACATATCTAGTGTGATCACACCTTTCTCTTATGTTTACGACGTGACAGGAGAACGTAATAATATTTCTAAGCAACCACCTGGCTTTTCATACCATAACATTGACATGTTTTTCTCCTATAGGATTATCAAAAGTATCTTAATGGCACAAGCTATGAAGTTAATCCTTTAGTTCAAATGGTAGAGCGGTCTTTTTGCGAACAAGAGGTACAAAGTTGAAATACCACAGATCGTGTATATGCATCTCAAAAGAGCAAACTTTTCAAACGTTAATTATATTTAAACACCAATAGCTATATTAAATTTATTTTGGAGCCTTGTCACGTCATTACAGTCCACGTCGTCACGTCCGCTCATGTTCTATTTGACGACCGCGCATTTTCATAATATTTCTACAGCGTAGTTTCCATTGTAAAAGATTCTGTTGTAAGAATGCAATGTCAAAAGCACACCACTATGCATACTGCTTTCCATAATCCATCCACTGTATGAAGATGACGGTTTCACAGCGCCCGTTTCAACAGTATGATTGCACAGAAATCCATAAGCACTGGGAATTTTTGTTCTCTAGCTGCTTGGAGTATGTAACAGTTGAACTGATATGATAGGTCGTGGAAGGAACTTGTGTACACATGATTGTGTCACTTTTCCAGGCAGAAATCCTTCTTGATTATATTGTGCACTGT